CCATTTTTTTCTTACAAATAAACTGTATCCGGCTTCAAAGGAGTTATGCTTTGGCCTGAATAGTGCCTTAAAATAAAAATTAAATATTGACTCATAATATTGATATAATTTCATTAAATTTCCTCCTTTGGATCGAGACATTTCTGTAATATTAGTATGAACCCTTGATTGGCTCACTAATTTATTAACTTCTATTATAACTACATATTATACATTAGATATTAGACAGAAAAGTACAAAATTTAAAAGGAATAAATATGAAGGGATCTATTTTTGCAGTAATATTAATGATTCAAAATTTTTTTTATTAAGACATAGGGCAGAGTGATTAACTGTGAGTCATTGATTTTTAAAAATTTATTTATTTATTTATTTATTTATTTTTATTTTTATTTTTTTTTTAGTCTGGGTGTCTCTGTGTTACCTAGGCTAATTAAACTCTTGAGCTTAGGTGTTCCTTGAACCTCAGCGTCACAAGTAGCTGGAAGTGCAGGCATGCACCACTGTGCTCACTTTTTGTTGATTTTTCAAATGTTGGTATGCCACTAAGGAAAATAGCAATCAGAACCTTGGATTTCAGAGAAGAGGCTTCATAGAGCTAGTGCTCCTACTTATGAGGGGGTGCAGTGAGCTAGTTCTCGTTCTGTCTATTCATGCAAGAAATAAAAGCTGGAGACTGGAAATAACTGCCAGGGCAACACTGGTGATTGCTCTTTTCCCTCTTTCTTCTTCCTTTTAGTTTCTTCCAGTACCCACTACTGGTGGTGGAATGTAATAGGAAACCAGCTCACAAATGAGAAATTCAGTTTCTTGAGTTATATCCCTGACATCAGACTGTGGACTTAAAAGACAGTGGATTAATAAGTGATATACTTAATATTTTTTTTAAAGAGAGAGAGAAAGAATTTTAATATTTATTTTTTAGTTATCGGCGGACACAACATTTTTATATGTGGTGCTGAGGATCGAACCCGGGCGGCACGCATGCCAGGCGAGGGCGCTACCGCTTGAGCCACATCCCCAGCCCCTGTACTTAACATTTTGAATGAAACATTCAAAGAATTGGTCTAAAGTTCAGTGAATTTTGTTTTATTTGCTTTTTAATGGCAGTCGTAGCTGGAAAGAATACTGTTGAGAGGCATGATGTAGAGCAGGGTCAGCAGATTTTTTTCTATAAAGAGTGAGATGGCAAATATTTTAGGCTTTACAGGCCACAGTGTCTGTGTTCCAAATATTTTAACTTTGCTTTTGTGGCACAAAAATAGCCTTAATTTAACTTTAACACAGGTGGTGGGTTGGATTTGGCCCATAGGCTATAGTTTGCCGACTCTCAGTGTAGAATAGAAGCTTGGGGTTATATTAATTAGTGATAGTGTGAATTCAATAGTTGGAATAAGCTTGATAGTTATTATTTTTTTAAGGACTAGGGATTGAACCCAGCTGATACTTTTTAATATTTATTTTTTTTTAGTTTTTGATGGACACAACATCTTTGTATGTGGTGCTGAGGATCGAACCCGGGCCGCACGCATGCCAGGCGAGCGTGCTACCGCTTGAGCCACATCCCCAGCCCCCCAGCTGATACTTTTTAATTCGGGAAGGCATCTTTATAGATCTGATTATATTAATTTTTAAGGGCCTCATTCTGTCCCAAAAAGACCTATAAAGAGGAATAGGGGCCAGGTAGAGTGGCACATGCCTGTAATCCTAGTGGCTTGGGAGGTTGAGACAGGAGGATTGTGAGTTCAAGGTCAGCCTCAGCAATTTAGCAAGGCCCTGGCTCTAAATAAAATATTTAAAAAGGGCTGGAGAAGTGGTTCAGTGGTTAAACACCCGTGGGTTCAATTCCTGGTACAAAAAAAAAAAAAAGAGGAATAGGAAAAGTGTTAGTTCTACAGTTCTTCTGTTCACATATGATGGGCATTTTTATTACCTTTGATACACAGTTTCTTTCTTTTTTTTCCCCCTCTCATATTGGAGATAAAATCTAGGACTTAAGGCACGCTTAGGCAAGTGCTACAAGTACCACTAGCCCTACTACAGTTTCTTCAGTGGATTCTTTTAAGCCAGGTATTCATTTTCCTATGCTTTAGTTAAAAATTGATAGGGTTGTACAGTGTTGAAATACTGAATGCCACTGAACTGTATATACCCTTTCAAAATGGTTAAGGGATTGGGGTTGTAGCTCAGTGGTGGAACACTTGCCTAATGTATGCAAAGCCTTGGGTTTAATCTTCAGCACTACAAAAAACAAACAGCCAACAACAAGAAAAGGTTAAAATAGTAAATTTTGTGTGTATAGTCATGTGCCACATAATGGCGTTTTGGTCACCAGCAAACCACATACACAATAGTGGTCTCATAAGATTATATTACTTAAGGCTGGGGATGTGGCTCAAGCGGTAGCGTGCTCGCCTGGCATGCGCGCGGCCTGGGTTCGATCCTCAGCACCACATACAAAGATGTTGTGTCCACTGACAACTAAAAAATAAATATTAAAAAATCCCCCCCCTTCTCTCTCTCTTAAAAAAAAAAGATTATATTACTTAGTGACATAGCAGTCTTAATTTGTATGAGTATACTTTATGATGTCCAAACTATGATGAAATTGCCTAACACATTTCCTAGGAGTGTCCCCATCATTGACTCATAACTCACAATTTAAAAAAAAAAAGTTGATGTAAATCCACTTTGATAGACTTTTGTTATGGAATGTTGCATTTCCTCAGATATCTCAAGTACTCAGTGATTTGCTAGCATGAAACCTCATAAGGGTGCCTGTTTTCATCAGTACATTAAATTCATGATGTTAAATTTCTTACTATTTTTAGATAAAAGAAAAATATTAGAATTTTCAGCATCTTTCTGTATCCCAGTGGATCATTCTATACCCCCGGGGGATGAGAACATACATTAGAGGGAGACACCTATTTCCTGATAGGTAGTTTGATGTACTACTGAGGCAGAATAGCTGGTTGTGGTGGTTCATCCCAGCAATTTAGGAGGTTGTGAATCAGGAGGATTGCAAGTTTAAGGCCAACCTTAGCAACTAAGTGAAGCCCTAAACAACTTAGTGAGACCCTATCTCAAAATAAAAAAATAAAAAGGACTTGGAGATGTAGATCAGTGGTAAAGCACCTCTGGGTTCAATGCCCACTACAAAAAAAAAAAAAAAAAAAATTGAGTCAGTATATTGATAATCCTGAAAGCTGGACTGTTCTTCCCTTACTGACATGTTGCTAATGGTATCTTATCTTGACTGTATTTTCATACCTGTTCTCCCACTCCTAATCTATATTCTGTATAGATGTATTCTCATCTATGTTTCTGTGGCACTCTATATATAAACTTCTTTCATGACTTGAATCACATTGCCTGTCACTATTTGCATACATATTTCTCCTCCTTTGCTGTTGAGCAGCATGTCTTGGTTATATACTGTTACCACACCCTAGCTCTGTCACACTGCATGTTCTCAGTAAATACTTTGACACATTGAAAATGGAACTTAACCCAAACTTTGGCTTCTCTTATAGTGGTTCATAATCAAAACTGTTTGTGGTATCTCTGCCACTCTTCCTCCCCTTCATAATCTTGGTTGTCATTTTTTTTTTTCTGGAAACTTAAATCGTATCTTTAGCATCTAACTTTTCCATACCAATATTTGGCATTAGGAAAATTTCAACATGAGTATATTTGAATAGTGCATACCTTTTAGAGTAATCATTATAATTGGTTTTGCTCATGTTGATTAATTTGTCAAACAAATATTTGCTGATTACCTAAACATTCTGCTGGGGGGACACCACAGTGAACATTTTACATACAAGGAAATTGAGACCCTAAGAAGTTGAATGATGAATATAGATTATATAGCATTTTAATGATAGAACTGTAACTGATTGATAGGGCTTCTCACACTTGGTCCTTTGATGGGGAGTGCTGTGAGGAGAGTTAGAGCAGTGTAGCTGGGATGAAATTTGTGAGGGGGGTTTGCTCCTTCTCGTTCCAATTGCTACTCAAGGGTTTTCAGTAATTGAAGAACTCCGTCTCTCAAAAGAAAGTACATTACATTTATTTAGATTAAGACAGAGGTCCAGTGTGCTTAGCAGTCCCTTAGTTCACCCTTTCAGGGTAGTCAGGTGGGGATAAGAGTATAAATTTAATTCAGGATTCTCTGGGATGGGTGGTTTGGAGAATTTTGTGGAACTTTCTGCCTTGGCTGGTAGATTAGTAGTTGACTGATGACTGATGTGTGGTAGCCAAATAGGGTCTCAGCAATGGAGGGTGGTTGGGTGTTCTGATGTTGATGTGTATCTTGGTGGGTCTCTACAGGATCAGCCTAATATGGACCTTGTCATTATTTGAAGGTTCAGAAACTGCTTACTTGAAGAGAAAAAATGCTGAAGAAAGAATTTAAAGAAAAGGTCTAAAGACAGCCTTAAAAGTCAGAATACCAGTTTATAGTGGTAGGAGTATGCCTGGCCCAAGATCTGCAATCTGTTTTCTAAAGCAAGTATTCCCTCCTATTGGGATCTAGCCTTAGTTGCTTCCTGGGAAAGCACAGAATAAGAGCCAGTTGAATACTATCTCCCTGTGAGTTTCATGTTATGAGGGCTTGACCTTCTTTTACTGTAGAAGTATTATGCTCTTATATGATTGAAAGACATTCAAACTGAAGCTACCTACTGCTCTTGCCTTCCCACTTTTCTGACACTCAGTTGTGAAAGTGTCAGTCATTCTTTAAGAAGGACAGAACTGGTGAAGACTTTCAATAGTACTGCTTATTGTATTCATCAGCTAGTCAGGTGGGTAATATTTGAAATCTGTTATTCCACATGAGATTTGTGGTAGTTTGTGCTACTTACTATGATTTAGAAATAATTTACCTTTTCCTTTGATTCCCATCATATTCTCCACAAATGACTAATGTACTGTATTTTCTATTTCCACTGAGCAATTTGTGAGCACACTGACTTTAGTCCCTATATTTTCTCCAGGGTCATCTAGTAGCAGGCACCCAAATCAGGCAACTCCAAAGAAGAGTGGTTTGAAGAATGGCCAAATGAAGAATAAAGATGACGAGTGCTTCGGGGATGATATTGAGGAGATCCCAGACACAGATTTTGATTTTGAAGGGAACCTGGCCCTTTTTGACAAGGCAGCTGTGTTTGAGGAGATTGATACCTATGAGAGGAGAAGTGGTACCCGTCCCCGGGGCATCCCAAATGAAAGGCCTACTCGGTACCGCCATGACGAGAACATCCTGGAATCAGAGCCCATTGTTTACCGACGGATCACAGTACCCCACAATGTGAGCAAGGAATTCTGCACAGGTGAGTTGCACTACCAGGTGTCACATTCCACAGACTGTTCTTTGATTTCTATTATGCTTGAAACAGAAGAAAAACAGCTTTTTGAGTTAGAATCTTATACTGGGAAGTAACTTAAGGGGCTCGGTGATTGGCCTAGTATTATTGTTACTTGGGGTTTGTGGCCAATTCAGCACCCTACCACTGAGAAGCAGGAATTCCTCTGTCTGTCCATGTATATCCTGTATCCGATCTGCTGTTAAGTAAGTTATGATTAACAAAGCTTAGGGACATCTAGATTTGGATAGTCACATCTTTTGTCACTCTGGCTTCTCTGAGATTGCCTGTATAGTTCAATTTTGTTTTACTGGTTACTTGTGGTATAAAAAACAGTTGAAGATGGGTAATTGAAACCACTGGCTAAAATTAGTCTCTCAATAAATTAGTTTGTCCTTGTTCTAGAATTTGGCTAGTATAATTTTCGTGTAACAAAGTAGTGCCTTGGTAGTTAATGTAGGTCACTATAGATGATAGTTAGGTCTTTTACCTCACTGGTCTTTTTTGTTCCTTTTTGTGTGTGTGTGTGTATGTGTTGTTAGATCCTTTTCTTTATGGCCTGTGAAGCAGGTATAAGCACCTATGGGAGGAGTGGGTCACCTCATTTCTGGCCCAACCCCTTCCTGAAAGCCATGTTATTAACAGAGTTTCTTGAAATATGGTTTGCAAACCATCGTTGTTGAGTGATCCTAAGAGCTGAATAGAAAATCATTATCATTTAAGAAGTAGAGATGGAACCAAGTACAATATTTTCATTTTGGTTTGAAGTTTGGAATGTAGGAAATATAAATCTTAAATGCTTATAGTTGTTAACACGGAAAATTGTGGAGGCAATTTAGTTGTATTTGGAGGAAAAGCACACATGACTTTTTTTGTAGACAACAGTAGAGCTCTTTTGTATTTGGTAATATAGACCTTGCTTGCATGTGTTTTCTTTTTTCTAAAATTTGTTCTTTTTAGTTATATGTGACAGTAGAATGTATTTTGATGTATCATACATACATGGAGTATAACTTCCCATACTTGTGGTTGTACTTGATGTGGAGTTACACTGGTCATGTACTCATATATGTTCATAACATAGGAAAGGTATGTCTGATTCATTTACTATCTTTCCCATTCCCATCCTCCTTCTTTCCCCCATTACCTCCTTTCCCAATCCAGTGAACCTCCACTCCTCCCTTCCTTCCACTTATTGTGAGTCAGTATCCACATATCAGAGAGAATATTTGGCCTTTGGTTCTTTGGGATTGGCTTATTTTCACTTATCATGATAGTCTCCAGTTCCATCCAAGTATTGGCAAATATTCTTTTTTTGGCTGAGTTATATTCCATTGTGTATGTGTACCACATTATTGAAGGGCACCTAGTTGGTTCCATAGCCTAGCTGTTGTGAATTGAGCTGCTATGAACATTGATGTGGCTGCATCACTATACTACACTGATTTCAAATCCTTTGGATATATGCTGAGAAAAGGGATAACTGGGTCAAAGTTTTCTGAGGACTCTTTATACTGCTTTCCAGATTGGTTGCACCAATTTGCAGTCCCACCACCAATGTATGAGTGTACCTTATCCCCCTTATCCTTGCCAACATTTATTAATTTATTATTGCTTGTATTCTTGATAATTACCATTCTGACTTGGGTGAGATAGAATCTCAGTATAGGTTTTTTTTTTTTTTAATATTTTTTAGTTGTCAATGTACCTTTATTTAATTTATTTATTTATTTATATGCGGTGCCAAGAATCGAACCCACTGCCTCACACATGCCAGGCAAGGGCTCCACCACTAAGCCACAACCCCTGTCCCTCAGTAAAGTTTTGATTTGCATTTCTTTATTTTTTTATTTTTATTTTTTTTTTTTTTTAAGAGAGAGTGAGAGAGATAGAGGTAGAGAGAGAGAGAATTTTTTAATATTTATTTTTTAGTATTTGGCGGACACAACATCTTTGTTTGTATGTGGTGCTGAGGATCGAACCCGGGCCGCACGCATGCCAGGCGAGCGCGCTACCGCTTGAGCCACATCCCAGCCCCTGCATTTCTTTAATTGCTAGAGATGTTGAACATTTTTTCATACATTCATTGATTGATTGTGTTTCGAGTTTTTTATATATCCTGGAGATTAATGCTGTATCTGAAGTGCAAGTGGCAAATATATTCTCCCATTTTATAGGCTCTCTCTTCACATTATTTATTGTTTCCTTTGCTGTAAAGAAGCTTTATAGTTTGATACCATCCCTTTTATTTATTCTTGATTTTACTTCTTGTGCTTTAGGAGTCTCGTTGAGGAATTTGGTTCCTAAGATGACATGATGGAGCTTTGGGCTTTTTCTTCTAGTAGGTACAAGTTCTCTGGTCTAATGCCTAGGTCCTTGATTCATTTTGAGTTGATTTTTGTGCAGGATGAGAGATAGGAGTCTAATTTCATTTTGTTACTTGTGGATTTCCTGTTTTCCCAGCACCATTTGTTGCATGCATTTTCTTCAATGCATGTTATGGCACCTTTGTCTAGTTTGTATTTATGTGGGTTTTGCTCTGTGTCTTCTATCCTGTACCATTGGTCTTCATGTCTGTTTTGGTACCAATACCATGCCATTTTTGTTACTATAGCTCTGAAGTATAATTTAAGGTTTGGTATTGTGGGGCCTCCTGCTTCACTTTTCTTGCTAAGGATTGCTTTGGTTATTCTAGGCCTCTTGATTTTCCAAATGAATTTCATGACTGCCTCTTCTATTTCTATGAAGAATGTCATCGGAACCTTAATAAGAATTGCATTAAATCTGTATAGTGCTTTTGATAGTATGGCCATTTTGATGGTATTAAGTCTGCCTATCCAAGAACATGAGAGATCTTTCTATCTTCTAAGATCTTCTTCAATTTCTCTCTTTAGTGTTCTGTAGTTTTCATTGTAGAGGTCTTTCACCTCTTTTGTTAGATTGAGTCCCAGATATTTTCTTTTCTTTGAGGCTATTGTGAATGGGTTATTTTCTAAATTTCTCTCAGTTGGTTCATCACTGATGTGTAGGACCATAATTGATTTATGGGTGTTAATTTTGTATCCTGCTACTTTGCTGAACTCATTTATGAGTTCTAGCAGTTTTCTGGTAGAGTTTTTAGGTCTTTTAAATATAGAATCTTGTAGTCAGCAAATAAGGATAGTTTGAGTTCTTATTTTCCTATTTGTATCCCTTTAATTTCTTTCTTCTAATTGCTCTGGCTATAGTCTCCAGGACTAAATTGAATAGAAGTGATGAAAGATGGCATCCCTGTCTTGTTCCAATTTTTAGAAAGATGCTTTCAGTTTTCCTCCAGTTAGAATGATGTTGGCCTTGGATTTAGCATATATATAGCTTTTATAATGTTGAGGTGTATTCCTTCTATCCCTAGTTTTTCTAGTGTTTTGAACATGAATAGATGCCAAATTTTGTCAAATGCTTTTTCTGCATCTGTTAAGATAATCATATGATTCTTGTCTTTAAGTCTGTTGATATGATGTGTTACATTTATTGATTTCCATATGTTGAACCAACTTGCGTCCCTGGGATGAACCCCCCCTTGATTGAGGTGCACTGTTTTTTAAATATGTTTTTATGTTGCATGTGCTTTCAATGTGAAAAATAAGCAGACTGCCAGATTAAGAAAGGGTAAAAAGGGCTGGGGATGTGGCTCAAGCGGTAGCGCGCTCGCCTGGCGTGCGTGCGACCTGGGTTTGATCCTCAGCACCACATACAAATAAAGATGTTGTGTCCGCTGAAAACTAAAAAATAAATATTAAAAAATTCTCTCTCTCTCTCTCTCTCAAAAAAAAAAAAAGGTGAAAATTATTTGTTCGTCACCAGCAGATTATGGTAGGCATATACCTCTTTACCAAGGAAATTCCCTGACATGGCAGTTGGGAGTGTGACTGCTGAACTCCTTTGATTTTTACCATCTGTATAAAGATAAATGACCTTGCTCAGAATCAGACTTAATTAATTTACAAGGTTTTGTTTTTCAAAGGCATTTAGTTATCCATTAATCACTATTCCCATGTTCACCAACTGTCCACCTCTGACTGGTTCCTCAGTTGTAAAGGAAGCTGCTCCTGCTGGTAGCCCTCTTTATCTACTTGGGTGGTGCTGCTAATGTTGTTGGATTATACAATATGTGATATCCTGAAATTTATTTACACTGCAGGAATTCCTGAGTTGGGGAAGATTATGGTTCTGCCTTGGAGTCAAATGACTAAAAGGGTGATAATAACAGCGTGAAGTAGCAAAGTTTCTCAGATTTAAAAGAGCCTGAGAAAACACTTAACTAAAGTAGATAAAAGAAGAGGTGGACATCTTTCCTATTTGGCATTCACCTCCCCAACTTGATTTTTACTTGATTTTGTTTTATTTTTTTTTTATTATTTTTTTTTATTTTATTTATTTATTTTTTAATATTTATTTTTTAGTACTTGGCGGACACAACATCTTTGTTTGTATGTGGTGCTGAGGATCGAACCCGGGCCGCACGCATGCCAGGCGAGCGCGCTACCGCTTGAGCCACATCCCAGCCCCCTTGATTTTGTTTTAAATGACAAGAGATATCAAGTTGTCTCCTCTCAAGAAACTATTTTCCTAAAATTGCCATCAGCAAACAGTATAAACCACAAATGCTGGTGGTAGGCCAAGAACCTGGGTACGGCATCTTGTGGTTTGTAGTGACCAGTGACATTCTACATTGTGCATAACAGTGAGGGGACAAGAAGCCCAGCAACTTCTTATCCAGTGATGGTTTGTGTTTTGGGATTCTGACAGCTTGCTGCTGGTATCCTATATCAGGCCATCTTTTTGTTCTTAACAGTGATAAGGGGTAGAAATAAAAGCCCCTTTGTTTTGCTGGAAATAGAGCAAGCAGCAGTTATCTTGCTGAGTAGCTTTTGTGACTGGCTTTCATCTCTGCTTCAGCTTCAAGGTGTATTCACCTCGAGCACATC